AATTAACTCCCAAAATTCTTCTAAGGAGGCCAGCATCAACACCAATAACAGAACAATCCATTTTCCCCAACATATTACTAAAGAAAGAAACTGCTTCATCAACAATATGAGCTTGAGATTTCAAAACATGACCCTGATCGTTCACTAAATATCAGATTGCTTGCTTATTTTGATTCACAACCACCATAAAATCGAAAAATCGGGTTTTTTGATCACCCTCCTGCACCCGATGAGCACGAGCCTTCTGTTTCAAGAAGTTCTCTTCCACGTCAACAACTTTTTGTACTCATCATACACAACTCTCTCGTGGGCTTGCAAATCCTTATCCAAAGGAGAAGAGAGAACTTCCAATTGAATTTTTTCCAACTCATCCTTCTTCCTTTTAACCTGTAGAGAAATTTGCCCATATCTACTCATATTCAACTTTCCCAACTCAGGCTTAAGCCTTTTAAGCTTAATAAACAACCTCCTCATAGGATTATCAACATGAACAGGCAAACTCCAACTATCACCAACAATTCTAAGAAAATATGAATCCCTAGTCCAGAAATTAAAAAAACAAAATGGCTTAGGAAGGGACTCCTGCCTCTTATTCATCCACACCATCCCTGGACAATGATTTTATAAACCAGGCGCAAGAAATTCAACCTGAGTATAAGGAAAAGCCACCATCCAAGAGACTGAAACCAACACCCTATCTAACTTCCTTACAAGAAAAACATTCTCATGCGGATTAGACCAGGTTAAAACAGGCCCCCTAAAGGCATGGTCTAACAACCCCACCAAATTAATACAAACATTAAAACCTAAATATCACGCAATAAAGAGTTACCAATAGTCGTAAAACTTTCCTCTTGAGAAGTAACAATATTAAAATCACCAGTTGCCATCCAAGGAGAATCCCCAACAATTTGTTTAATGCCCTCTAAATGTTGCCAAAGCCTCGTCCTATCAACCCCAAGATTAAACCTATACACAACAGAAACATAAAAACTAAGCACCTCACCACGAACCAAACATGTAACACACTGGTTCGAGATAACAACTTCCACTACATCAACCGTCCTCTTACAAAGAAACCAAATCTTTCCAAGGTCCGAACAAGCATAGTTGTGAAACTCTTTCCAATCTACAAAATACTTATCCCAAATAGATTGTATATTACACCCCTTTACCCTAGTCTCTAACAAACACACCATATCAATATCAAGGTAACAAATTCTTTCTAGCACCCCCTTATTCTTTAGGAGGCTGTTAAACCCCCTAATATTCGAAAAAAGAGCTTCATGATATAATAGAGGAAGAAGACTCACCCTGCTTCTTCCCTTTACGAGTATTCTTCTTAAGCCTTGCATCAAAATAAATACTCCTTTTGCAGCCTCTCGACTCTGTCGAGCATCAATAGGAGAAGGACTAGGCTGGTCCATACTTCGTTTCCCCTTATCAATAACAGTAGGCTCAACCATATCAACATAACCCGACTGATCCGAGCTCAACTCTGATATTTGACCAGTCGGGACCTCCTCTTGAATAGCCTGACTCACAACAACCACCATAGGAATTTGGCCCACCTCCGAGACCAGCTCCTGCACAGGACAATCTACAACAACATCCCCCACCTGCTCCACCATCCCACTCGTAGAACCCAACCCAACACCAACAGTCTCAGGAACCCCTCCAATCGGAACCCAAACTGGTTGGCCTGGCTTCAAGTGCTTACAAGCCTTCTAACCCTGACCAAAAATCAATTTGGCCCTCTCCTAGTTTTTGAATTAATGTGACCCTTCAACTCGAAAAAAACCCTTGATCCTAACTTCCGTTAATTTCTATTGGGTAAATTATATCATTAATCACTTAACTATTTTATTCTCTTTTATTTTGGTCACTAAACTCTAAAAGTTATAAATTTTAGAAACTTTAGGGACTAAGACTGTAGTTAACCCATTTTTATTTTAAACACAAAACCAACCTCCCTTCTGTGTTACTGAGAGAAAAACTAAAGCTCAAAAATTTATTTACATGTCTGAAATTAACAGCTTAACAATCGATCCCAGAAGTCGATGAGAAAATTTCCGGCAATGGAAAGCTTTCGTGGCATTTCGGTTGCCAATTTTGTAGTTCAAGTTCTGTTAGCTTCAGCAGCTTTGGTTTAAGCTCAAGGATCTACTACTGGTCGTCCTCTTTGGCAGACTTTAAGTGGTGTGTTTCTCTATTTAGGGTTCTTTTGTTTTCTAAATCAATTACATGAGGTGATTCTTTCTAATTTTCTTGTTTGGTTGCTGTGAAAGATGAGGAAATGTTGGGAAAACAACATGTTGAGCCAGATGCATTTTCGATTTTCCTTTGTATTTCTTAACTGTCATTTTTTTTAGTATTTAGAAGTGGAGGAAATGATGGGAAAATTGCTAACGCTAAGCTTATTTTGAGTTGCTTGAGCCTTTATCAGATTCGTTGCGGTATGCATGAAGTTTAGCTAGTTTGAGATTGGGGTTTGTTCTTATTAAAGTAAATTAATTTGTGAGCTTTAGCCGGTGTTTGTTTTCACTATGCAAGTTCTTCAAACCACTTATGTCTGCGTCGCGCAGACCACACGCAGACATTAGCCTTCGCAGACTGTTTGTTTTTTAGAAGACAGAAGCTCTTCAAACGTCTGCGCGAGCTCTTCTTGGTGCAGACTTGGTTTTATGTCTTCAAAGGTCTTCAAACCTCTTCAAAAACAATTATAAAATATAGTTATTTATTAAAATAATTTTAAATAATTTAATAAGGTTATTTATTTTAAAATAATTTATTTTAAAATAATTTATTATAAAACAATTTATTTTAAAACAATTTATTATAAAATAATTTATTTTAAAATAATTTATTATAAAATAATTTATTTTAAAATAATTTATTATAAAATAATTTATTATAAAATAATTTATTTTAAAATAAATTATTATAAAATATGGATTGATTTATTTTAAAATAATTTATTTTAAAATAATTTATTTTAAATAATTTATTAGTATGGATTGATTTATTTTAAAATATGAATTGATTTATTTTAAATAATTTATTAGTATAGATTTATTTATTTTAAAATATGGATTGATTTATTTTAAATAATTTATTAGTATAGATTGATTTATTTTAAAATATGGATTGATTTATTTTAAATAATTTATTAGTATGGATTGATTTATTTTAAATAATTTATTAGTATGGATTGATTTATTTTAAAATATGTATAGATTTATTTTAAATAATTTATTATTGTAGTTGTATGAATTATTTAAATTTCAGTATTGTAAAACTAAAATTATTTAAATCTCAGTATTGCAAAACTCTTTTAAGTTTAAAAAATCAGTTTATTTATATTTCAGTTCATTTTAGCAGTCTGCAGACGTTAAAAAACAAACAGTCTTCTTCTTGCAAACTGCAGAGTTTTGGTCCACCTCTTCTGCTATAGATGCCTGCAGATATGGTCCGCAGACTGCAGATCTTTTACCTCTGCAAAAACAAACACCACCTTAGTTTCTCTCTCGAGTCACAGAGAAGGGGACGAGTTTTGTGTTTAAAATAAAATGGGTTAACTACAGCCTTAGTCTCAAAGTCTTTACAGTTTCCAAAATTGACAATATAATTTATATGATACTGAAAAAATGATATGATATAAACATCAAATAGATGAATAACCCTATAAAACATTATCACATAGGTCGGTAGAAAGCCTTTTTCAAACAAATAAGATATGATACCTTAGCAGATAAGCATCTAATAATGCCTAACGACAACATTTTGTATGTTAGTTCAGCTGTATGATGTGAAAGCTCACCTTTCACAAGTTGGTCATATGTAATGTTTTACGGATGGAATAGGTGATCAAATTAGTTAGATTATTGATTTTAAGTTCATTCATTCGTTTAATATAATGGTAAATTTCAAAATAAATAAAAAATCATAATTCTTTTAAGGTAAAAGAGTAATTTTTACTACGGTAATAGATCTAATTTATCACTTTCGTTTTTATCGTATTTTTACATCAATTTAACATTCGAAGTTGCTCAACTTTAAACCCTAAATAATAAACCCCATATCTTAAATCACAATCTCATTACCTCTAAATCTTAAACCTTAAATATTAACTTATAATTTAGGGTTTTAAGTTAGGGGAGTGTATATAACGATATAATTAAATAACTTTAAAAGCCAAATTAATGTGAAGATACGATAAGAGCAAAAATAATAAATTAAATCTACTACAATGACAAAGATAACCCTTAAATCTTTCTTTTAAAAATTGATTTTTTTCATTAGTCCAATATCTTAATCCGAATTTTTAGTTGTTTTTATTTTATTTTATTATGTGATGATTAATTGTTTATTTTAGGTTAAAATATACAAATGGTCTATCGACTATAAAAAAATTACTTTGTTGAGTTCCTAACTATCAAAACTTACAAATTAGTCATCGACAATAGGATATTGCTTTTTATTGAATCTCTCAACTGTTACAAGTTATAAAATGATCATCCGACTATTCACTGTATTCCAAAATCATCCTTTTATGTTAAAAAATTAATGAAAGACTGAGTTAGATGTTAATCTATTATGTGAGATATGATGGTCATTCCAGATTATGTGACTAGATTTTATCATATATTAAACAACAGATTAACATTCAACCCAGATCGTCGTCAATTTTTTAATGAAATAGAGCGAATTTGAAACATAATGAATAGTCAAGTGAACATTTTGTAAATTTTAATAGTCGAGAAACTGAAAAAACAACATACTATAATTGACAAACCATTTTATAATTTTTGATAATCAGGAGACTCAACAAAACAACATTCTATAATCGAGAATCATTCGTACGCTGATAACTTCGAAACGTAATTTGAGAAACACGAAATATAATTACTCATAACTTGCAATTCACATCTCTTTACATATTAGTGCATATATATACTCGGGTCTTTCTAAACAGTGTCTGAAATACTCGGGTCTTTCTATACAGTGTCTGAAATGGGAAATGGAGAAGGAAGTTCAGAACAAAAGTAGACATAGGAATAAGCAGCAGAAGAGGAAAACACTTAGCCTTCCCAGTGATTTATCTGCTTGCATTACGTGCCGTCTGATCCTATGGCTAGTGATCCCAGCTAGATTGTACGAGCTCGGATACGTATAAAAGTTCCTATCTGAGTCCCCAAATACTCTAGTGTATACCATTTCGCCGAACATTCGGATCACTGGATCCGGTACATTTATCGACATGCCACCGGTACTTAGCACCGCCGAAGCTGGATAGCCATCCTGTCCGGGGTAGTACACTTGTGGTTGATATGAATATCCATGATGATGAAACTGCATACTGTTGGTAGAATTCGGCAATCGTTGTATCGTGCCAATGTCCCAGTTAGGACCGAGAGGCCGCTTCGGTATGTTCATACCGAATCGGGAAGTCTCGGTCTTAGATTCCTTAGTTGTTACGCCCCGGCCGTAGAGCGGAATCAATGTGGCATCCGATACTTCAGCCTTGCATACAGGACATTGGTGCTGTTTCCAGCCTTGGTCCTCAAAATGAAGCCATTTGTAGATGCAGGGCCAGCAATAGAGGTGGCCACAAAGCGTGACCACCGGATCCTGAACCGAGTCGAGGCAGATGTTGCAGTCGAAGGCTGTCGTCGGATTATCATCAGTAACAGGCGAATCGTTCCACTTCTCCGAGCACTGCTCCATGGCCATTTGCTGCCAAAATCTGTCAAATTTGATGAGGAATTAGTACAAATGTCCCATAGCTTCATCTTTAGGAAACCGTGTTATATAGATATAACTCGTGGTTCGTAAGAACTGGTGAACTCAACCACAGAAGCTGCCATCAAACACTTTAATCAGCTCCACCACCATTCTCCTCTAATCACATCGATAAAACTCATCTTCCGATGGTGGGGTTACCTCAAGAACAAACTCTCTTTTTTGTTAATTTATTTTCAAGAACATAAAAAACCAAACATCAATTTCTTCTTCAACAACAAAAAACACCACATTAAACCCTGTCATGTCAATTTGACAGACAACAACCCAGACGCAGCTTTATGAACATCGAACCAGGTGAGAATTTCAAGGAAACAAAAAACAAAAGTTCTCTTGTTTCAAGGAAGATTGAAAATTCAATTCTAGAAAAGGTCTTAATGATTAGAAAATCAAGCATCTTCTTCATAACTTATGTAAAGTTCAAAGAAAAAACAGGGGAATCTTTGAAGCAGAGATCCATGGGATGTAAAGATGATCAATCCAAACTTCAAAACAGAATCAAACCCCAAAAAAAAAAAGATAAGGGGAAATACAGTAATTATACGTAGAAATGTTTGGATAACATACCAGTTAGCTGATAATTCTCCTCTATGTGAACTTTAAAACAAAACAGAGGAAGCTTTTATTTTTGTTTGTAATGGAGAATCTGATGTTCTTCTTCGAAAGAAACAATGTATAATAATTTAAGAGAGAGAGATTCCTTAAGGGGACAAAAGAAGCAATCTGGTTCTGCTTTTATATATAGAAAGAGAGGACAGATAATGGTGAAACTAATAGAATAATAGTAAATAAGTTGTGAAATATAATGAGACCAAGAAGATAAACATCAGTTGAAAATTATATCCATAATTTGAGATTAATTAGTCAATGATTAGATAATAATTATTTTTATTTTATTATACAAAATATAAACAAAATATTCTTATTGTCATTTACATATTCATTTGATAATATTATACAAAATTTTTCGATCAAGGTCGAGAGTGGGAGATAAAGCAACTTCACCTTTACGTATTCCTCTTCTACGGAATCATGAAGACTTTATCAACAATCATTCGCTTATTAATTGTGAATTTCCGTCTAAATTAAAAGGATGAATTGTTTATAATCATCGTAATTCATTTGTTTTTAAAATATAAATAATTTTAAAATTTTATTATTATCCATCAGATAATTATATTTTTATCAATTATAATATAATTTTGTTATTTAAAAATTAAATATTTTAAGTTCATTTCTTTAATCATTAAGACCGTTTAGTTGATACATTTAAAATAGTTTTATATGTATATTTAATTTTTTTAATTTAGAGTAAATGAACATAAACATATATTATCATCTTAAGATCACTTATAAATTTATTTATTTATATTAATACCATATTAAATAATAATTTTTTGAATCTTGTCATTTGTAAATTGAGTAAATTGGATTGAGAGAATCACCTTCGTCTGCAGTCCCTAATCTAGATTAATCGATTGAGGTGATTATAAAAAAATCAAATTTATTAAGTAAGAAACCAAAAAAAAAATGGACTGAAATTCGTTGGATTCAAATAATGTAATCATCTTATCCAATTGACGTGGTATTAGATCTTCCCATCATGATTCTAATTTGGAAATATGATTCGATTACTTAAATTTAAACTTAAATCAATTCAATTTAATCATCAAATTTTAATATTTTAGTTTTTTTTAATTTAGGTTTAAACTGTTTTAAATTGAAAACCGATATAAGGTGTAATTATACACATTCTTTAATTATACAAAATCTAAAATTAACTAATCATACTAATTATTTACTTTTTTTAAAATTAACTAATCATATTAATTATTTATTTTTATACATTAATATAAAGATAAATATAATAATGATAAGACGTTCAAATATAATTTATCATAATTTAGGCACGGTTCATTTAAAATGATCGATAATATATATTAATATAAGAGAATCAGTTAGAAAAATCCAACTCGGATTAAATAAATAAGATAATTAAGTAAACACACTAAAACTTACAGAAGAAAAACTACACTTATTATTATAAAAGAGGAAAAATATCAAATAAACAACACAAAAATTTATAAATACAAAAAATAAGAAATCAAGAGATGGTGTGTTGGGAAATAAACGAGTATGAGTAATTTCCCTATAACTAAATTAGTGAGAATACGAAATAAAAGCAGAAAAATAATACCCGAAATTGATAATGGAGTTCAGCCAATTTTGCTTACGTCTCCAGACTGCTGCAGATCTTTTACTAAGAGAGAAAAATTACAGGTGTTTACAAAACACTCACTACTCACAAGAAAACTCTCTAGTATTGGGAGAAAGAAAATGATTTGGGATGATTTTGAAGCTAAATGAGCTAGGGTATTTATAGTTGAAGCTTAGGGACTAATATTTGAAAATACCCTAAAGTTTAATGACTCAATTTTATAATTATCCCTATTACAAAATAATAAAAAATTATCCCTTAGCAGCCCCCCTTAGCAGCCCCTTTTTTACCATAATAAAAGTTGCCGACTACTAATATGTTCAACAATCTCCCACTTGAAGACTGATTTTAATCTGTCTTCACACCTCGATCAATGCAGCAGCATTTTTGGTCATGTTATTCTAGCATGCCAACTGAAGATGAACACAACTTCAGTTTGTCCGTAGTCACCGTCTTTGTCAACATGTCTTCCGGATTTTGACCTCTACTAATCTTTTCAAGTTTTAAAATCCCATCTTCCAGAAGAGACCGGATAAAATGATATCGCAATTGTATGTGCTTCGTCCTGGAATGAAAAGACGGATTCTTCGCTAGATGTATAGCACTTTGACTATCGCAATACAAAATATTGTTCTCTTGTTTCTTGCCTAACTCTTCCAAGAAACTTTGGAGCCAAACCATCTCCTTGCTGGCTTCCGTAACAGCGACATATTCTGCTTCAGTTGTGGAGAGAGCAACTATCTTCTGTAGTTGAGAAACCCAACTCATTGCGGTTCCTCCTAGAGTATAGATATACCATGTAGTGCTCTTTCTGATGTCAACATTTCTGGCTAAGTCAGCATCTACATAGCCTGTCAGTATCGTATCTCCACCTTTGAAACAAAGTGCTTTGTTTGTACTGCCTCGCAGATATCTGACGATCCATTTGACAGCTTCCCAGTGTATCTTGCCTGGATTATTCATGTACCAGCTAACAGCTCCCACTGCATGAGCAATATCTGGTTTGGTACAAACCATGGCATACATTAGACTTCCAATTGCTGAGGCATACGACACCTTCACCATGTGTGCACGTTCTTCCTCCGTCTTTGGTGACTGTTCTTTGGAGAGTCTAAAGTAAACACCTAAAGGTGTACTTACTGGTTTAGCATCTTGCATGTTGAACATGGAGAGTACTTTGTTGATGTACTCAGCCTGTGATAACATCAAAGTCCCCGACTTTGTGTCTCTCTTGATCCTCATCCTAAGAATCTGCTTTGCAGCACCCAGATCTTTCATTGCAAACTGCTTCGACAATTTTTGTTTCAAGTTTATAATCTCTTGCATGTCTGAACCTGCAACAATCATGTCATCAACATACAACAATAAAATAATGAAGTTGTTGTCGAACTTCTTGATGTAGCAACAATGATCTGCTTGGCATATGGTAAAACCATTAATACTCATGAAACTATCGAACTTCTTGTACCACTGTCTAGGAGCATGTTTTAAACCATACAAGCTCTTCTTCAACCTGCTTACCAGGTTTTTCTTGCATGCCTCTATGAAGCCTTCTGGCTGCCTCATATAGATTTCTTCCTCCAAATCACCATGAAGGAAAGCTGTCTTTACATCTAACTGTTCAAGATGTAGATTTTCTGCAGCTACAATTTTTCAACATTGTAGACAGTTTCACGACTGGAGATAAAATTTCATTGTAGTCAATACCTTCTTTTTGCTAAAAACCTTTGACAACCAATCTCGCTTTGTAGCGTTTTCTCCCATCGTGCTCTTCTTTGATCCTGTAAATCCACTTGTTGTGGAGCGCTTTCTTGCCTGGTGGTAATTCTGCTAATTCCCACGTCTGATTTGACATAAGCGAGTCCATCTCATCTTTCATGGAAGACTCCCACTTGACTGAATCCTCCACCTGTATTGCTTCATCATAGCACTCTGGTTCACCATTGTCAGTCAGCAACAAGTAGTGCAAAGAAGACGAATAACGCTGGGTTGGTTTAGGAATTCTGGAGGAGCGTCTTAGTTCTGGTGTGCATGGTTCTTCTTGAACTGCTTCAGGATTGATCTGAACATCATTTCTAGAAATCTCCTCGAACTCAGCAAATTCCTTTGTTTCAGCTTCGATATTTGAGCTACTGGATTCTATGGTTGACCTGTCTTTGTACATCACATTCTCATTAAAAATGACATCTCTACTTCTGATGATCTTCCGATTTTCGTAGTCCCAAAATCGGTAACCGAACTCATCACCACCATAACCAACAAAGGCACATTTATTGGACTTAGCATCAAGTTTACTTCTTTCAGTAGAGTCTATGTGTACATAAGAAATACAACCAAACACTCTTAAGTGTGAAAGGTTTATTTCTTTCTTGCTCTAAACTTTCTCCGGTATTCCACCATCTAAAGGAACTGAGGGCCCACAGTTGATTAGGTAAGCTGCAGTGTTGATAGCTTCAGCCTATAGAAATTTGGGCAATCCGGCATGTATTCTCATACTTCTTGCACGTTCATTCAGAGTTATGTCCATGCGCTCTACTACGCCATTCTGTTGCGGTGTCATGGGAACTGTTGTCTCCATCTTGATCCCATTGTTTGTGTAGAAATCTCTGAATCTTCTATTTTTGTACCCTCCTCTATTGTCAGACCTCAACTGCTTGACTTTCAAACCAGTCTCATTTTCTACCATGGCCTTCCATTTTCTGAAGGTATCAAAGACTTCTGATTTCTTCTTCAGAAAACAAATCCACACCTTCCTTGTAGAATCATCGATGAATGTGACATAATATAATGAGCTTGCAAGAGATGGAACTGGAAATGGTCCCTATACGTCAATATGAACAAACTCTAACTTTTCTTCCTTGGGTGTCTTGCCAATCTTTGCAAAACTGACTTTCTTTTTTTTGCCAAAGATGCAATCCTCGCATAGTCCGACATCTACACTATTTAGATCCAGCAGCTTCCCTTTTGACAAAAGTGTCTTCATCCCTTTCTCGCTTATATGGCCAAGCCTTTGGTGCCATAGGTTTGATTTTCCATCAACATCTGCTACTGCAATGATATTCTCTAAATTTGAGGTTACATAGAGAGTACCAGTCTTCTTACCACGAGCAATGACGAGTGCTCCTTTGGTAATCTTTCATTCACAGCCTGAAAATGTTGTGTTATATCCTTCTTCATCAAGTTGTCCTACAAAATCAAATTTCTTTTGAGGCCATGAATATGTCTTACTCCTTTCAGCGTCTATGTGGTCTGGTTTGGCAACTTTAATCGGATGTCTCCTTTTCCGACGATCTTCAAGGTTTCATCATCAGCTAGATGAACCTTCCCAAAATCACCACTAACATAGTTCTCTATGATTTCTCGGCATGGGGTGGAGTGGAAAGATGCCCCTGAATCCAAGATCCATGATTCAATCGGACTGTTGACGCTTAGAATCATTCATCATCTATCTACTCTGTCATGTTGGCAGATTCCTGTGCG